TGTTTGATAGTTGAGAGGCTTTGCAATAAGCGTTGCAATGTATATTTTGCGCATCAACTATCCTTGCCCCCCAACCTAACCCTAAACCTAACCCTGAATGTAACCCTGAACCTAACCCTTACTTTAACTTAAATTGCACTTTTGTGGGTGCGGTTTTGTCGGCTCATTGTTATGGGTGCGTTTATGACGTCGCGGTTTTCTTGCCACGGTTTCGTCGGTGCGCTTTTGTTGTGCGTGCATTTGTCGGGTCACGCAAAGTTGCTTATGTTTAGAGACCAAGAAACTGTGATTTTTACTCTCTTAGACATGAAAGCCAGTTGGGTAACTTTGGGCCAACTGCTCTCTTCCAGTTCAACCCACCTCATAGGGTTGTTGCTGTGGAGAAAATAGGAGGAGGAAGGAGCATTAAGTATATCCGCCACCTTGAGTTATTGATAAAGTAATAAAGGCGGGATAAAAAGCTAATAAACAAACAAACAAAGAGACCAAAGTGGAACAAGTTTGTGCTAGAAGGAAAGTAATTCTTTAAAATGGACAGCTCCATCAACATGGGAAACCAAAATGTATTCAGGAAGAGGTCAAAAAGCCCATCTGCAAATATGTGGACTTTAATTTCCAATGGAAGAGAGACTTTAATTTCCACAATTCTCCGTTTAGCATGGGCAATGTTGTGAGTTCAAATCTGTGTCTCTGGCTGGCACCAGACCTGGGGATGGCTGCCCTAGGATTGGTGAAACCTGTATTAACCAGGGATGAGCTATCTCAGTACAGGGACAAGGGACGATCTCAGCATAAGGGAACATTATTTTAGTGAAAAGCTGGAGTGTCTTTTTTCCCCCTTCACATTTATTGAAACAGATTTCAACGTGCAGATGTTATGATGGCTTCTCTATTATTGCAATTTTCAAAATGTGATTCTATCTGTGCTGGAATTTTACTTATTATAAAAAGGTAATTTAATCTGTGCCTTTTTTAAAAAATATGCAAATGTCAGGATTCCAAGTAACACCCCTAAGGAAAGAAGACTCCGAGGCTTAAAGTTCCATTTTATTAGAGATGTCATGTTGGCACATCTGGGAAAATCCAAATCTGAAAGTTTCCAGGTTTCTCCCACCCATAGGAAAGTTCAAGTCCCTGCCCAGCACCCAAATGTCCATCACATGGTCCAATCAGGCACCATCCAAAACTCCGGTGGGGTGGGAAGCAGGCCTATGGCCTGTGGGGACCTGTGGGTGCCTCGCTTAAAAACCATCACGGCTTACAACCATAAGGGGCAGACTCCATTATGTTCGTAACTCAAGGTCTAACTATGCAACCTCAAAATAATTATTCCAGCCCTGCCAGGGGAAAGCACTCCAGAATCCTTGCCGCAAGTATGACAGTTGTTGTCCTTTTTTCATTAGCGAAACACAAAAGGCGTCTCAACATTTCCCTGTCAGCTTCATGAGCAAAGAAATGGAGTGGGAGTTTTCTCTGGATTTATCCAGACTAAGGAGAAATTCTCCAATAAGATCTAGACTTCCACTTTGTGACATCAGGGTAATATGGTAATATGAAACTGTCTAAATGACTTCAAGGAAGATGCACCAACTGAACTCTAATTAGGATTAGGATAAGAAGAAGGAAGTGAGGGAAGGAGGGAGGAAGGCAGGAAATAAGGGAGGGAAGAAGAAGAAAATAAGGAATGGAGGGAGGGTGGAAAAAAGGAAGGAAGGGAGGGAGGTTTCTGATTAAGAAGAGCAATAATTCCTGGCCCTTTTAAATGTACAAAAAGCAAATGCAAAGGATGGTTTATGGAGCATATTGAACTTCCTCCCGTAGCCAAAAGATGGTGCTATTTTGCTTTATTTCAAAATTCAGTCCTGAATTCAGTCTCACTAAAAAAATCTTTGCAAAAGCATCTTCCAAAGAATGTACATACATAGCATTGAATGAAACAGAGAAAACCCTAAAAATTACACATTTAGTAGGCTTCCTGGCTGGGATTATAATGCCTTTGCTGAAGGTGGCTGGGAATTTGATAAGATATAATCTCAAAACACTGGACAGCATTAAGTTGGAAAGGCTGTAATAACCCTCAGTTTCTTGCCATCAACTTTTTTATTCCTCTGCATAGTCTCCCATTTAAGATTCCATATTTTACATGATTTGGTATATGGATGGCACGCTTATTTGTTATATAACAAAAAGGTAGATAAGAACTTTAAAAGTCATATTTTAAGGAATGCTCTTACTGCGGGTCTGGAAAAAATATCAATACAAATTANGCTTCTTGGATGAGAAGCGAAACATCTTCAAAGAAAAACCAGAAAGTCCAGTTGCCTCTTGAAAAAACCCCTTTTGGACAACCATGACCGGGATGACTGAGAATCTCCATAGCCAAACCCCTTTCTATAAACTCTTATTTTACAACCCTATAATCCCTTAATTCGGGGTAGAGTTGGGGCGACTGGATGGAACTGAGCATTTACTGGCCAGATGCCCTTCCTGATGCCATATGGAGTTCACAGCAGATATTTTCTCTTTGTACCCTGAGAGAGAAACATTTGTCGCTGCTTAGGATTTGAACATGGGATGGCACTTGGAACATCCAAGTGGGAGGCGAGTGTCTCCATCATTAGGCCATCACATAGTTCAAAACAAACCGCTTTCTATGTCCTATGTCAGTGATGGCGAACCTTTTCAGCACCAAGAGCACACCTGCGCTTGTCGGGGCCACAATCTGGAAGATGAGCTGCCCAGGGGGGGATGCATGCGGAAAAAGAACTTCTGGTTTCTGCTGCGCACATGCACGGCAGCCAGCTAGTCTTCTGGTTACTGGCGCACATCCTGATCAGCTGGTGAGCTGGAAAACGAAAGACCAGCGTTTCCAGTTTCTGGCACTGCAGCATGCACAAGCTGATCGTCGTGCATGCATGCGCGCCAGAAACCCGGAAGAGGAACGGGTGATCCCTTGCATACCAGGCAACATGGCTCCGCGTGCCACTTCAGGCAAACGTACCATAGGTTCGCCCTCATGGTCCTATGTTATTCAGGACCCCCACCCCACCACATTCTCCAACTACAAGTAGTCCTTGAATTGTCACCAGTTGCTTACAAACTGCTTGAAGTTAAAATGAATGCCAAAAACTACTTATAACTAGGTCCTGGCAGCTGTGCCCCTGCCCACAATCACATAACTATACTGGAAGCGCTCAGCAACGGGCTCACATTTATGGCTGTTTGAAGTAACCATGTCACTGTGATTTATGATGCTTTTGCTGGAAACTGGCATCCACCAAAATCTGGCCCATAACCAAGAATGGGTTTGCTTAATAACCATGGTGTTTGCTCTACAACCGCTGCAAAAAAAGGGGATCAGTCACATGATGTCCCACTTTACAACTGTCACAATGTATGTTATAATTTCCAAGCTTGATTATATATCTGTCGTAGTAAATCAAAGATTCCCTTTAAGTTTTTGGGGATGGCTATAGGTGAAAGGATGTGGCTGGGAGCCCAGAATGTATTGGGGGGGGGATTTAAAAATCGCAACATGATGATAAGGGTCTCTGGGCTCATTATGTAGGCAGACAGAATACTTTTACACATGACTTCTGAAACTGAAAATACTCTGCATGCTTCAAACTGATTAATGATTATATTTTCCTTACCAACCTTGGCCCTAATTATACCAATAAAACTGTCATTCGGGAGGGTGGCAATGAATAATTCTGAATATTATGGAGAAGCAGAGGAGGCAAGTTCACCTGTATCTGTAATGTCTGGAAGGAAGAAGATTAAAAAGGGTGCTTCTAATGGGTAGCCACTTATTGTGTGCGCAAGCAAAACTAAGATGGCTATTTGAGGAGAAAAAGTTTCGAAATATGTCCATCATATGTAACAACAAATATTCATAAGAATAGACAAGGTCTGAATAATAAACATTGCAGTACCTAGAGGCACAGAAGAGAAAGAAAAACTGGAAAAAAAACACAAAATACAAAGACCTGAGAATAAAAGAAGAACAACTGTGGCAAATGAACGAGAAGATAGTACCAGTAATAATAGGCTTCTTGGATGTAATCCCAAAACATCTGGGGCACCCTTTGAGCATCATTGGCATTGACAAAATCACCACCAGTCAATTGAAAAAGGCAACTTTACTTGGAACAACTTATATCCTGCGGCAACATCTGTAACACTGTCAAGTAACTGTCACTGGAGATTCTCAGTTATCTAGGTCANGGGGGGAGGGAAGTAAATATTTGTAAAAGTTTGTTTTTTAAAATTTTCATTTAAAAAAAAGATTCCATATTTTGGTTTGTTCACCTAACAATGAATCAATTTGTGTTCTAAAAATCTGGGCCTACAGCAGGGGCAAACGTTGGATGAAATCGCAAGACTGACGCTGTGCCCGTTTTTACATACATGTTGACACATTTAAAAAGGGAGGAGGATTTTTGATTGCACAATTGTATTGCTGCCTTGATTTTATTTATTTATTTGCCTCTACTGTGGATGTCCCTGGCCTATTGAGTACTCATCATTCACACAGACTTCTTGAAGCCACTTCTGCATTCATGACAGTCAACTAAGCAAATGTCCTGTCATCTTCTTCTAACCATCTCCGGGATAAAGACTTCTCAAGTGCCGGTTTTTAATTGCTTCGCATACATCAATGGGGTTGATCACGAAATGAAGAAATTCTGAAATGTACCTTATTCACCTCAAACCCTGGGAATAAACCCATCAAAGATGGCATTGATGTACTGACTGCTTTGCTCTCGAATAGTTTTCAAAGCCACACTGCCTTCTTCTATTCCATGCAGGTTAAAATCCTACTTAAACCTTACATTTTCCTAAGGCTTTCTCTCAGAGATATATAGCATCTTGCCTGCCCTGCAGTTTGATTTGAAGAATTTGTAAAATTAATAGGTGGCTTCTTTTGATGGTCTCACCTGCTTTATCCCTGTACAGTTTTAAAATGTATATTAATATTCAGGCTCAGAACTTAAAATCAAATGACACATCACAGATAAATCACAGGCATCAACCATGAGCTACAAATATTATCATTTATTGGTACAATGGCATCTTTTTGCATTGTACTTCTATCCATGTGCAAGTATACTAGGGCCAGGGACATGCAGTCACTAGAGGCAGGAGAGGCGTGGCCTCACCAGTCATGAGAAAAAGGAATTTTAAAGAATTTTTTAAAAATAATTAAAGCCAAGGTAGTTGCTACC